GCAAACCTAGGTACTCGTTAAACCTAATGTTATTAAAATATATTTAATTGAAAATCAATTCATACAAATGGAAATTCGCTTAGTCGGCAGGTTTGCTGCGGCAAGGGTATTTTAAATCTTGTGTAGGCTGATATGAGAAAAACTGACCAAATCTTCGAGTAAAACTTTGAGATAGCCTACATGATTTACCAGATTTACCTTCATCTCCCTTAATTACACATCTTTTAATTTATTATTGACATTTTCAATTTCAATTTTGAAGTTGCAAAAATACTAATTATTAAATTTAAATATCTTTATATTAAACTCTTCTTTATATTAAATCACAAATCCTTTCATCTTCAGTTTTTCACTCACAATAAATAATTAGCAAAACTAAGTCAGCTGTTATAAACTTTACAAATATTGCTGTGCCTTATCAATTCAGTCTTTTGAAATGTTAAAGAAACTACAGTATATCTATATAGGTACTATAAAAATTTAAAAAAAATAATTTAGCATTAAAGACAGCAGACAAAACTAATATGACTATCAAAGCATCAAGGACTAAAAAATGTAATATCAAATACAGTGTTTCATTGCATCTCTGATTCTACTCTACAAAAATATCAACAAACAACTTAATATACAAACCAGTTCTTTTAATCAGTTTCATCGTCCATTGCCTTTACATTTTCACACTTACCATTAAGAAAACATAGTAACAGATATTTCATTGATTTTAGAAACAAAAGAACACTGTGTACTGCTTAGTTTTATGATATTTTCCTTGGTTTAATTTAATCAGTGGTGTGACAAAACACAAATAATAAATGTATCAAATAAAGTAAATGTGAACTGAAAGCTACGTTAAGATAAAATAAGAGTATTTTGTACTACCATTTGATAATTAAATATAGTTACACATATACAACAGATTTTAGAAAACAAAAATCAACGTACAATTTAGTTTTTGATGATATTCTTTAGTTTAATTTAAGCATGGGTTTAGCAAAACACAATAACTTAATTTACCTAAATATACATATAAAAAACCATGTGATGTGCTGATGTGCAAGTTATGTTAAGTTAATCTAACACACGTGAAGCAGTTAAAATTTATTTAAAGTAGGCTAGCCTCTAAATTCATACAAAACATCTATACATTGTAATTTTCATACTGTTTTCATGAAAACATATCAATAACATTATTTTCACTTAAGATTATTAACTTAAGACGCTTTAAAAATTCCAAAGCAGAGTCGGAGTTGATACAGCAACGGTTATAAAATCTTTTTTTTCATCATTGACATAGTCTTAGAATAAATAATTCATGATAAAAGGTTAGATTAAAATAAACCTACCTCATAGTTATGGAAAATATTATATTTAATTTCTTTGTATCAGCTGTCTGAAATTGTGAAATATGCAGTTTAACAGTTCTTCTTGTTTATATTTAAATGTCAAAGCAAATGTAAACAAACATTGTTGGTGTTCTCATCACAGCCATGGAGACCGATCAATATTTACTTTTAAAATGTTCACCTCAGAACTTTTAAAGCCAAAGGGGCAAAGCCTACGGTCAGTATCGAAATGTGAATAGTCCTATAATGGTCCTTGCTATTGTAGCTATATTTTTGTAAAATTTAAGCCCAGTTGATTCAGTAGTTTTTGCACCTATTAGTAATACGCATACAGACAGACACCATTAGATTTTTATATAATAGTATAGACTAGCTATGTGCCCGTTCTACGCACGGGGATCTTAAAGTAGTCAGTTGAAACCTTCTTATATTAAGAAAAGCAGTTGGTTTGCATATTTTCAGATATGCTGGCAAAACTATTATATAGCCTATAAACCTTCGCAAATACAGTATCTGACAGTTTCAAGCCAAAACAAATCTATGAGGCATAGCCCTAAGGCATATAGTTGAAAGTTACTTCCCACAATAGTTAAAGGCATTTAAAGTACTACCTCAACCTTACCATTTAACACTTTATTCGGGTTGACATTTTCATTATCAAGGTGCTCTTGTCCTTTTCGTGACACTGAGAAATAAGGACATAAATGCGTTACCAACAGACATACACACAAAAATACAGAACTTAATTAGGGAATTTGCTACGTTTTAAGCATAACAAAGTACATATAAAATTAGAATTTGAAATCTTTGTCAATGTCATCAAATTTTATCATAACAATTTATATTTGCTTGGACCGAAGATGACCCGAAATGCTGTCGAAATGACGGCTTACTTTATAAAATGAAGTACTATAGACAATTTAGATTGGTAATGGTAATTTAACCTATAATAAAAATTACCAAAATAGGCCACGAACTATTGATACATAAACAACGTAAATCGTAAACAATTCATGATGGTTTGCTAAACAAATGTTTTACTTAAATGAGTTATCATTTTCTTAGCATAAACTAACATTTTGGAAACCAGACAGAAAAAAAAGCAAAACTTATACAGTTAAGACACCAATTAAATTGAATAAGGCTGTAATACCACTGTAAAAATAAGGTGCAACACCAACGATAACTAATTTGTAAATTACAGTGATGTGTTGGTACGTAACAATGATTCTTGCTGCTACCAACGGTTCTAAGGAAAAAAACCAGTACCAAAAACCAACGTTTACAGTTTACAGAATTACGTCCGACAAATTAAATGCGTTAATCAAGTCCCAAGGTTATTGATTTCTTGGTTTTGGATTTTCTCGTGAAAAGTTATCGGCAATCAAAATTATTTCCCATTAATTGCTTTATTCGTAAACAACTTTTAATGTAAACTTATTCAGTTTGAAAAAAAAACAACCTTATAAAAACAACTGTTTGTTATTTAATAGATTACGCAAGCCTATTCTCTAAACAATGATTGGTATATCTTTTAACATTAGAATGAAATGTGACAAAAATCACGCAATGCTGGGTTTTTGGACGTTTGTAATTTTATTTCTTAAGTAGGGAGGCCGTGTATTCTAGGGAAAAGTACCGGTAACAAGGATCGTCGTCGAAAAGGTTGTTATGAATAATTGGGTAGGCGTAAGTACCCAAGAGATGGGCTATGGGCCTATTGGCTGTATGGTCCAGTGATTGCATCATACGGTGAGTAGGAACAGAAAGTGACACATTGGAAAAGCGAGTTTAGCATCATCCATAAACCGTAAACCTCTGTTACAATCACCCACTGCAGTTGTGATTTTTTACTTTATACTTTACACTTTACACTTTACACAACCACCGTTGAAGCGCCGTCAATGAGTTAGTAAGGTATTGGCGACGATCATTAATAAATTCAAGTTTCCCAGCCCTATAAAACACTGATTCGAGGTTATCAAAACTCAAGAACAATTTTATACACAAAGAATCTCTGGTTCCTAACCTGGATGATGTTATTAAATTTCATTTATGGTTACACTATATTATTCCACTTGCGATTAATTAAATCCGTTATGTAAGACAACGATTTTAATCTCACTTGGATAAATGGGCTTTGCCTTCAAAACGTGATCGGAAATGGTTGTGGTATTTGTAAACATATCAGTGACAGCGAGAAAAAATAATCTTGATCCGAACAGCTGTTCGTTATTTCATAGATCATTATGTGATAAAAATTGGACGAAAACTTGACAAAAATCGCACAATACTGCATTTTTTAAAGTCCGTAATATTATTTACTAAGTAGTGAGGCCATATTTTAATGGCTAAAGACACTCTCGCCAATCCAGTGAATACATTAAAATGACTTGGATCTTGATAGGTACTCTTGTTTTCCTGGAGAAGATTGCGTAAAATGCCATCTTGAGTGTTACAGAAAGACAGACAGAAATTTAGATGAGACTTGTTTCGGCTTCTTTAATGTATAAAACGTAAAAATAACTTACAAATGAATGATTCTGAGCAATGTACAGACAAAACTCCAAATTTATTTATATAGATTCTCATTGGTTCCAATTTAATAAGTGGTGTAGCAAAACACAAACACAAAATTTATTGAAATGAAATTAAGTCAATGTTAAGTGAATACTATTAATAAACATATTTGCGACATAAAGACATTTAATTGAAGCCTAAAAAACAGTTTGAAAAAGGCTTTCTATTCTTTATACTAGTAAAAATTAATGAGGGTATAAAAAATAGTTTTCAAAGATCATGTTGATCAATGTACATTCATCTAGTCTTGAAAAAATAAGTATTTAAAAGCTTACTCCAAACATAATGAAGTTGATCGGTTGTTAACAAAATGTTATCATTTTTCAAACCATGTAAACCTTATAGTTTTCCAACTGTTGCCTTGTTTATTTTTTCTTTTTATGTTTTTTTTTACTTTATGATGTTTCAATTAATGGTTCAAATATTCATAGTATATATATTTCTGAACAAGAACATATACCCATGTATATATAACTAATAAACGTTCCATAAGCATTTTACACGAGAGAACACTATTCGGCAAGTAGCCGGTCATTGTAACCGGTCATCATGAAGGAGCTTGAACGTCGTGCAACAGCGCTGAGCTATATTGGACGTCGTGCAACAGTCAAATATTTATTGGACAACGTGGCACTTGGACGTCGTGCAACTGGCAGCGACTTTGGACGTCGTGCAAATGTAACTTTTTTACAATTCTATAGTGCGCTGTTTCACGACGTCCAAGTGTCACGACGTCCAAAGCTTGTAGAAAGACTATACTTTTGGCAGTTACTGTACTTTTGGACGTCGTGGCACTTGGACGTCGTGCAACAACTCAAAAATTATGTTTTGGACGTCGTGGCACTGAATAAATATTATTGGACGTCGTGGCACTTGGACGTCGTGCAATGCATCCAACTGGACTACTAGTTATAGTGTAGGCCTGGGATAAATTGTTGCCATCAAAGGCTTTCAGCTAGGCCTAAGTGAAGATGTGACCTGGTTCATAGCCCATCTCAAGCTGTTGGGATCTATTAATTTATCAGGTAAGGAATTTCCCTCCACATAATAATGTTAACCTTTAAACTGATGTTACAGGTAGACCTACTGGCAGCAGCGAGATGTAACATGTTCTCACGAGAACTCATCCAGTACGAGAACACTCTCAAGACCTTTGCTACCAAATGTGTGACAATGTTTAACAATATCAGTACTACATTCCCTAGTGAGTCAAGTCTCTGTAGTTTATTGATTCAATTAAACCTATGATTAGTTTGTCCCTTACCTAATGAAAAAAACTACAGCTAACATCAAACATACACAAAAACAGCAAACATGATGTTGGTGTATGGTTTAAGGTTTATCTTGACCTAAAAGCTACTGTAGTGCACTTGAAATGCCTACTGGTAAGCCCAACACTTTAACTTAGCAGTTCCATGCTATCCTGCCAGGTTGTAGGACATGTCAGATACAATTTTCATCTGTTTTAGGGTTATGCTCTCTTAAATAGTTGTAATTGAAGATTTGATATATTACTCATGATGGCTGATTTATCAGCCAGGGCATAAAGGGTTGAAAATTTTATAGTAATTGTGAGTATATTAATTAAAATTTTAATTTTATTACACGTTATCTACACAAATTCAATAGATCACTAGAGGACTCTGTGCTGCTCCACATTGTTGAAATATGATTTTTTATTGAGTAATAAATTATCTTTGACTTAACTGATTCAAATGATCAATATCTCAAATAAAAGCCTTTATTTTTTAGAGTATTTGGTTGAGTAATACAGTAGATAAATGAATGATGATTATGACGGCAAATCAGTGGATGCATACCTTTAATTTAAGACCAAAGTTATGAAAATTGGTCGAGTAGAAGAGCCAAACAAACTGGGAAAAGAAAAACCCAAATTTAACTCCCATAAAAAATGTACAAGGAGGAAGTTGCTTTTGTGCATAGCTCAAAATATGCATCAGATAAATGAATGCTTGATGGCAAATCTGTGTTTGCAGCATACCTTCAATTTAAGGCCAACATTAAGAAAATCGGTTGGATCGAAGAGGTAAACCGACTCAGAAAAGAAAAAAATAGGCCTATTTTTAGATATATAGATATTATTATATTCACTACAAAAGGGCATGGGTCTAAACCTGTTTAGCGTTAGTATTTGTAAATATGAGAGGCAGTTCCTTGTTCCCCACTCTTTTATTGAATGATTTTCGCTGCCAATGATTTGTAGTAGCTGTTGTTATTTTGACTTCATTTGCCATTATTTCAACGCCTTTGACAAATATGCTTATTGACAGTACTTGTATCCATCTTTTTCAGGTCATCCCCAGTACAAATTTTCAGACGTTAAAGAACTAGTAGAGGAAGAGAAACCAGCAAAGATAGAGACAGATGAAAATGACGACACGTATGTATTATGCTTTACTTGTTACTTTCTTCATAACAGTAATTACTGTTGACAGTGTTTGTTGAAATAAATCACAAATATAAAGCCGTGTGGTTTTAAATTAAGTATTAAGGTAGCAATATTATGGATTTGATAGTAGGTTATGTACCATTTATACATTTTTATGTCATCTAGTGATGAAATCGGAACTGTTTAGGTTCTCCTGAAATGTCTCCAATCACGTGTTTGTTCTTAAGTTACTTATAATCTCACTCAAATCAAATATAAAAGTTTATAACTAAATTACAGTGGCTTGTAAAATATTTTTTAATGTATGCTAACTGCTGGCCTATAGATGTGAACATAGATTTAGTTAACTGATGGACTGAAGGTAAGGATTTGTTTGGGACAATAAAGAGAGATAAATGTTAAAAATAGACATTACCTTATAATGCCAATGTAAAAAAAGAAAAGACTTAATTATGATAGCTATTAACTACAAATGGTAAAAGTCAATAAAGTGGTGGTATATCCTTTAGATTGAATTTCAGATTAGATAAATACAAATTGTGAACAACATTGGTTTTTTGTAGATTACTATCGTTAGACGAGTCTGAGGCAGACACAGTGGTGAGGAAAGTAGAAGAAGTCGAAGGAAGTAAAGAAGAAGTAAGAAAATCAGAATCAAGTGAAAATGGAGAGGGAGTCCTCTTGGCGGATCTTCTAACAGACGCTCTCCCTGACAACCAGCTTTTGCCGAGTCAGCTGTTAGCCCAACTGTCGACTGAATCTCCATTTTCATCTCAGTTTCCTCCCCCAGGTAACAGCTAGATAACGTTGACTGTAAAGCCTTGTACTCTAAAAGTGTTTTTGCCGACCTATGCCACCGTGGCTAAATGACATGTAGTTTTTTTTTGTTAATGTCACAGGCATTTTCTAGTTACAAAAAAAGCCTGTCTAGCTTTGGGTCACTTGCACAAGCACAAGCTGTTTATATCATAAATGGTAAAGACCAGGAAGGTTGTTAAACCTGTGGGGTCAACTGGTAGGCTCAGCACGTTTTTCTTGGCCTGTCAATTATTGAGCTGGCCCCAGTGTTAGCCAATTAAGATTTTTAAAGCCACTTCAAAACCATAACATATTGCTGGTTCGGCTATGCACTATATTTGTAACTCTCTCGCACCACCCATAGCTGTGAGAAGTGAGTTTGCTAATAAAGAGATGGTTATTCATCATTTGAGAGAACCAGAATGTTAGTAAAAACTAATAAGGGTAAGTCAATAACAAAAACTGTGATGAAAACACTTTTAATGTAGACTTAATACACTAAAAATTTGTGAAAGCTCTTATGTACTGGAGATATTACAGCACCATAATGCCTTTGGATGTAAATAAAATTGTATACATCAAACAGTTTCCTTCAGATGACTTCAACAACACATTTTGTGATATCCTCAAGTATCCATTTGTATTTTTTCAACAATTGATCAATGTTTGTGTGGTGGTCACATCTTGTGTGTTTTACGCAGTGGTGATTGTAGGACCTTGTAAAGGGGGTGTGGCTAACGGGGTGTTTACACACCAACATACCTGGAGGAGGTCTGAAGGTCCTCCGGAACATTAGCTGTTTTAAAGCCGTTTGGGGACTTTTTAAAGCCTTTTTAATGTCTAGAACTGTGTCCAAAAACCTCCTATAGGGGCTATAGGATTTAGCCCCTATAGGCCCCCCCCCCCCCCTTGGAACCGCCACTGTCTTTGAAGCATATCATGACAATTATCTTTTCTGCATATGTACATCTATCTCCAGCTGAAGGGAATGAACTCTGAAAATTTAAAAACTGTTTCTTGTGGGTCAAAAATAACTAACATCCTTTTACACCACACGTTTTTAGAAGAGTTGTCAGCTTCATTGATGTAGGATACTGAAATTACTAAATTATTTTAAAATGTGTATTATATTAAAAGAATAATAGAGGCCAATCGTTAGTTTTGTTGGTAAATAAGTTTAGGCTATCCTAAAACATATCAACGCCAACCCATCAATGGTGAAGCCGCAGTAAAGCTTGTTTGTTTAAATATAAGGTTTTAACTTAAATAATTATGTATTTATTTTGTTAGGGCTACTGACAAGATTGTTGTTTTTACAGCTCCATCAAACCAGCCTCTTCTCATGTCAAGTTTGTCTAACAATAACCAACCTAAGATGCCTATCAGGAGTCTGGATCAAGTAAGCTAATAATGATATGCAATAATATCTATTTTCTAGACATAGTAAAACCTTTAATGTAATCACACATTTTTGTAATTTTTGTAATGTAATCACACATTTATCTCATATGAAAGTATTTGTAAAGAATCTTTAACCTCTGACTACAGATACGCTACAGTAAGCATGCATTATATATATATTCCTATTTTAAAACAAAAGCCTGTTTAAGAAGACTTAGATCAATCAAACTATCGGCAATAAAATTGAGTAAGCAACTACTGTACTTGAAGCTGTGAAATAACATGTTCTTTATTTTACTCCTAAACTTGACATTGACTTAGTCATAGTCATAGTATGCTTAGACTTGAAGCATAGACTGATTACAGTCCTAATTCCTACCCAATCTCTGAGAAAGATTTTGTAACCAGTCTCATCTTAGATTTACCATACTATACATTTATCATCCTTATAGAAGCTTGTTCTACAATGGAAACAAAACTTGGGTTGATATTATGCTATCCACTATCCAGGGATGATTAGATTATTCTCAATTATTTGTGTACAGGCACAGAAAACATACTACTATAACCCAGAATGCCAACCGCATGGTAAAAAGCAAGTGTTTTGAGAGAGCTTTGCCTGTCAATTCGTAGGCAGGGCCACCAGCGTTGCTATGCTGAGCGCTGCCTACGGATTGACAGGCAAAGCTCTCTCAAAACACTTAATGCTTTTTAACAGAAAATCTGTACATAGGTCCACACAACTTTCGATTAACAGGGGAGTGCCCCAGGGCTCAGTCATGGGCCCATTTTTGTTCATCCTTTTCACCAATGATTTACCAGATTTTATTAGGAATGACAATTGTGAAACAATAATGTACGCTGATGACACAACTCTTCTATATTTATGCATGACTTACCACAAGAATTACACTCCAACATCTTATCCTCAACAGACAAAGCACTGCAGTACTGCCTTCAAAATGACCTGGCCATTAATCCATCAAAAACAACCCAGTTAAACTTCAGCCGAAAACATGAACAAATCCAAGAAATTCCTGAAATAACCGTTGAAAAAAACTCAAAACTGCTGGGCCTGACAATTGATGAAGACCTCTCCTGGAACGACCACATACACAACCTGACCAAAAAACTTGCATCTGGTGTCCATGTAATAAAGAGGATGAAATGGATAGGAGGTCTGGAAACAGCTAAGACAGCATACTATGCTGTAATAGAATCGCATATAAGGTATTGCTTAATATCTTGGGGAGGAACATCAGAAGCAAACCTCAACAAAGTGTTGGTACTCCAGAAAAAAGCTGTCAGGGCACTCTCCAGCCTTGAGCGCTTAGACAGCTGCAGGGAAGCATTTAAATCCCTTAAGCTCCTAACAGTGACAGCACTCTACATCCATGGAGTTGTCCTGTACACAAAAAAACTTAACCTTCCCAGAAATGAGAATTTTCACTCCTACCACACCAGAAAAGCAGCCGACTACAACCTTCCGATCCACCACACTACACAATACAGCAGAAAACCCTCTTATATTGGCCGAAAAATCATCAACTCTCTTCCAAACAACCTCAAGAACGCAACAGGAAACCAATTCAAACAGCAACTCTGGGACTGGCTTGTGGACCGACCGGTGTACTCCCTTAAGGAATTTTTTGACCAATTATGAACTTTCAACACAAAAGAAAATGTAAACTGTTAAAACAATCTAAATGTTAAAACAATGTAAATGTTAAACATTCTGAATCTTTCTGACGCCATTGTATTTCTTAAAGAAATCACAAATAAAGAAAATTATCTATTGTCTATTGTCTAACATGCGGTTGGCATTCTGGGTTATAGTAGTATGTTTTCTGTGGTACAGGTTGTGATCTATGTGATAAAATTGTATTGACTCATGATACCAGAGCCATTATGTGAAATGGGATGGAGTCAACAGCGTGAGTGGACAAGCGTGATTTACGTAATCAAGTTTAAATTGAAGCCATGGTTGCAAACCACTCTCACGCCGAGCTTGATCGGACATCCGCCGGACAAAAATTAGCGCCAACGGACATCACGCCAGACAGATCACGCTGGCGTGATCTTGGAAACCCTAGCTACAAGTTCAGTTGAGCTTTGACATCTAAGCATTTCTAGTCTGTGTGCAAGATTTTAAGTACCAAATGTAAAGGAAATCGAAAAGCCAGGAATCACACTTAAATTTTCCCGAGACCTTGAACTATGTGTGTGGTTTTGTATGGGTCCAGGAAATTTGTAATAGTAGATTTTACTTTACATTGTTAATCACAACTATGAAGAGACTAATGGAATCCAGCTAGAACTGTAGTGGTTGAAGTAAAGATCACCCACCGGTCTCAGATTTTAACCAGCCTATGTGACCACGATGGGAGCTCAATGGAGACCTTAATTTACAAAATTCCTTGTAATTAAAGTTATTTGTTCACTTTTCAAACCACTAATAAATCAGTTTCCTTTTTGAAAAGGAAGTGTTGGCCTGAACATTTTGAATGTGGAAAACATGGAGTTGTCCTTGAACTTTATTCTCTGCTTGATTCACACCCAAATAAATTTTTACCAAAACTCATTACTTTGATAGGCTACTCATTTAGTTCAATTATTTACACAAGATATTTGCAGGTCCCCAACAAACCTTGGCTGGATTTGTTTGCTGAGTTGGACCCACTCTCCGACCCAGATGCCATCGACAAGAAGACAGACGCTCAGGACAGAAACTGCTAACCTTACCAAAGTCAAATATTACAATTTATTTCACATTTATATGTCATTGCTTACGGTATTGTATAGAGAAAGTATTAAATTTTGTTTATCGTTTCGCTTTTGTGCTAAAAATGTCTATAATTATACTTGTACTTAACTTTGATTGTGTACAAAAGGTTGATATACAAATCTTGTATACTTTTGGGATGAAAAGTTGTAATTAATGCAAGGGAAATATTTTGAATTGTTAGTATTATAAAATTTTTTTAAATAGAGGTTTCTCTCCTTGAATTTGGTTTTCAAACATTCCATCCAGTGAAATATTGTTTTAAATTTACTTATGACAATAATACTGAGGAGTTAAGTGCAATCAATTGAAATAGTTTTGTCGTTAATAATGGTGTTTATTGTTAGTATGATTTTTAATACACAGAGTGATTGATATAAGTGTGCCAGCTGTTTTATTCTAAAGTTATATAAGATATCAAAAAATGTTAAAATGTAACTGCCTTGGATTTTTTATTTTTTTTTATTTGGTCAAGTTGAAAAAAATAATTTAACATTTTTCCAATATGTCCGATGACTTTGATTTGTCTTATGAAAGACCTATATTTTCTGAATTTTTATGAAGTAAATGCCATTTGCAATTTTAAGACTTATTTACTTTTAGCATTTTCTCTCTAAACTTGCTCGAATAGGAGCTACATGGTGCAGAATGTACTGTACACCGCAAGTCATTTTTCTTAGTTTTAACACACTGTAACTTCTAAATGAGTAGCTTTATAGAACAAATGCCAAGAATAAAAACGTTTTTAAATGGCATTTACTTTCTAAAAAAAATCAAAATTGAAGGCCATGTTGGAAAAATGGCAGCTAAATTTTTTTTCAACTTGACTAACATTAAAAAAATAAAAAACCCAAGGCAGTTACAATTTAATTTTTTTTTATCTCTTATAACGTTTAAATAAAATGGCTGGCACACTTATATCAATCACCCTGAATGTGCAGATCATGCAAATAAACCTTTCCTGCAAGTTATGTTAAGACAGTAAACATAATGGTATGCGAGGTCACCTTATTAATCATTTGTTAGTCATTATTTAATGTATCTATATTTAAAATGTCTGCCACTGCTTACCTAAACACTTTCAAATTCTAGAAGATGTTCTTAATACAAGAATAATTGCTTTTGTTTCATTTGATTAACTCACACTGAAGGTTTGTTTGCATCAATTGTGTTTGTGCTGCACACATGTTGTGTTTTAAACACTGTCTTGTTCAATGTGTTTTTAAATAGTATACAAAATTTAAATCTTAACTTTTCGATGCAAAATTGTAACGAAAACGTATTGGCTAATGTACTTATAGTTTGTTTCATACAATCATTATTTGGGTGTAATATTACAGTGAAGTCCCGCAAACTCGGCACTCGATAACCCGACAGTCTGGATAATGCGGCCATCACCTGGCTCAGAAAATTAGGGATTTTTTGATTCCGAGTTAAACATAGACTCAAGCCAGCTCAAGTCAAATCATTCGCAACTCGTACCAAGGATTTGTTGTAGGCATATCTGATGAATTAATACTGACTTGTAATATAAATATAAATAAAAAAGGCGGTTAAAAAGCCTATACATTTTTTTCTTATTTTTAACCCTATTTTCCGATAACCCGGCATTTCACAAACTCGGCACCCTTCCAGTCCACATTATGCCGAGTTTGCGGGATTCTACTGTAAATGAATTGTAATATATTATTACATAGCTGGAGTAATATGGAAGATATCTGTAGAGCAGATTTACTACTTTAATAATTACTTCATTCCAAAGACATTAACCATAAGAGAGTTATTATATCATTGAGTATATAACGTTATTGTAGGTGTAAGATATGTTTTCTTTACTGTGGACAGAAAGGCCTAAATATGAAGGATCCTATTCTAATTTGTGGTCATAGTAAACAATTCCTCGAAGCCCTATGTATTCTCTAAATTAGAGATTGAAATATTTGCTGGATTAATAAATGTGGTAAATTTCAAAGCATTGTTCAATAAGGTGGGAGATGATACATAAATCTAGATAGACTAAAAAGGTAAAGGCTGTTTCACTCACAACTTTTCCTATTACCTTTTCCCCTTTTAAGGTAAAAACAATTCAATTAATAAAACAATTCTCCTATACTTTTTTTCTGTTATTGAAGAGATTACTGCAGACATTCCTCGCTCTTAAAAACACTATTCCACAATCATATCATTAACATAAATCATTCTTTATCTCCAAATATGAACTTACCCCAGGAACAAAACAACTTCTATACGGAACTGACTTCCATGTTAGTGTATGTACTTATATTGCAGACACCCAATACTCAAACTTTAAATTGTTCTTCTGTTCTCTTTACCTTGTAAAACCACTAACATACTCAAGAAATCATCCAAGTTCACTAAGTCGGTACTGAAGTATATCATTAAGAAAAGCCTGTGTGGCCTTTTTAAGTCTATCTAGAAGCATTCAACGTGTTAAGGCAAAAACTTGTTTGTCTGGAGTTTCATTTCATCGATACAGTTTTTAATTAAAACTGATATTAATAATATCTGTGTAACAATTTTGGTCATTGTCTCCAGTTTGACATGTAAATATCCTTATAAGTATCTACTTAAGGGTAACTATTTAATTCTCTAGTAATATTTTTGATTTTTAGTAATATGGTAGGTTAGTATTTGTTTATAGCAAATATATATTAAGGTGCGTTTCCTTTTAAGCTAGGTAATTTAATTGCTGAATCGGTTGTTTACACTAGCTATTGTATTTTCTTAAAAAAATGTAAATCGAAAACAAAGAACATATAAAGTTATGGATCTGATAATTATTCTAGACCAATTTAAGCACTAGGAATTTCAAATATGATTTAGTATGATCAAAAAGCATTAAACCTAAAGAAATTATAAGACCTAAAAACTTGTGTGTTTCATGACTACGTATGGTGTTCATTTAACTTTTTTCAAAGTTAAGCACTTGCTATTTAGTACTTTTGGGGGATTTCCTTCGCATCACTTTTAGTGTAAATTCTTGGTTACTTTTAAACTTAATTACCTCAAAGATACTCTCAAACCAAAAATCACCACACCAGATTGCCTTTTGATTAGGTAGCCTCTACCAAATTAAATCCAAAATATATTTATTACCTTTTAATTTATATTAGTTTTTATTTTGAATAGTATTTATATTGTCACAAATTGTAAATGAATAAAGTATTTCATTAATTTATTATATGTAATGATTTCCTGTTAAATACTTACTTCTTGCTTATCTACAAGTTTGAATGAATTTCATTTTTAAGATTTTAATGTTGGCGAATTTAAATTGACAGCAGAGTTTTTCCAAAAATGTTTTATCAGGGATACCCCCTTCCTTTGTAACTTTGTGTCTGTCATCTTCGTATTAGGTGAAACAATATCTTAAACCTAACAAGGGAAAATTAGTACACGCAACTCAGGGTAAAACGGGTCGATGTCTACTTGTACCGGCGTCTAGTTGTACCTGCTGCATTTTGGTGACAGGCGTCTAGTTGTACCTGCTGCATTTTGGTGACAGGCGTCTAGTTGTACCTCGTCCAAAGCTGTAGGTACAACTTGATGATGGTGCGGACGTCTAGTTGTACCTCTTAAAAATCTGCAGGTACAACTAGTCGGGTACACCACCGTCTACTTGTACCTCATACGTCTGCGTCTATGTATACCAACGACTAGTTGTACCTACGACTACTTGTACCTACGACTAGTTGTACCTACGCCTACTTGTACCTACGACTAGTTGTACCTACGCCTACTTGTACCTACGACTAGTTGTACCTACGTCTAGTTTTACCTACGGCTAGTTGTATCTCCCCTTCAACTTGTCACCAGTTTAAGGGATTTATTTCATTTCTTTAAAAATCATACAATCTTACAAAAATTTTTTATAAACAACTTGCTACAAAAGCCAGGAATAAATTCAGAGTTTACAAAAACAAGTAATTGAGTATAATGAAGTGTTTTTGTATGGTATTAGTCACGGAGAATATTACAACAAGTTCAAATTAAAAATTTATATGTTATTCTTATGGATAAAAACTGGCGTAGTTTGGTTGTTGATACATATACTTTGACAAATAAGTTTATTTCACACTTAACTACTAAATTTTCTCAAAAACACATCTTAATTACCTTCTACGCAAACGTAATGAAAGCTCACTATTGAAATACCATTGAAAAATTAACCCAGATATGACTTTTTTTGCGCGCTTAGTTCTTAGTAAAACTAATCTTGGTTTAGTTGCAGACTACATAGCCAGTGTACACATACCTAGCTCAGTATCAAATTTAGTTTATATAGTTTAACTAGCTTCTCTAGTTTGTTTGAAATGGAAAAAATTCCAATCACGTGTATTATTTACTGTGTATGTTAAATAGAGAAGTATGTACATTGCATATTTATTGTCCAGAGTTTTCAACCACTGGACCTCAACTTCATTGTTCATTGTTCACTGGGAAATCCATTGTAAACTATAAGAGATGCACTCTAATCAATGCAAATACTATAAGGTTATGTGAAAAAATATTTAAAGGAATCAGCAAAAATAGTAATACATAATTGCTAGGCAGCGGTCTATTGCAATTCATTAAGGATATACTGCTTGTATATTTAATAATATATATAAATGTTTTAATTAAATAAGCGATTTTCGGTACTAGGGCTGGAAAATTTTAATTACAACTATAGCTGCCATTTCGACCCTGGACAGCAATGCGTAGCTTTCAGCCTCCAATTAACGTCTGTAAAACTACTAAAACATCGTAGTGCGGTGAAAAATATTTGCCAATCATACTCAATTGACTCAGAACACTGCAGTTTATGATTTAATTAAGGGTAATATCAAAAAGTACTCGTGCAGTAATCAATTTAACAGGGTAATAAATTGAAGGATAGATACAACTAGACTGTAAGGACGCAAAATACGCGTAGGTACAACTAGACGTAGGGACCACTAGTCGTAGGGACAACTGGTCACATCCGTACAAGCTAGGTGATACTACTTGTCGGTGGGATACACGTCTAGTTGTACCTACGTCTAGTTGTACCTCCTAAAAATCTGCAGGTACAACTAGTCGGGTGTACCACCGTCTAGTCTACTTGTACCTACGACTAGTTGTCCCTAGGCCTCGAGGTACAAGTAGACGTAGGTACAACTAGACGGCGGGACAACGAGACGCGGTCCCGGGAAAACTTCAAAATCCCACCCTGTAAAATGTTTAAAATATCTCCTTAGACACATTCTTTCTGACATTAGCTTGCCAATGCCATTAACCCTTATTAATGGCAAGCGGTGGGAGAACCTATGGTATTTTATGAGTAAAATTACAAAAGTTGCAATAACTCTTGTTCCGTAATTTTGAAAGCAATGGGGGTTAAGCCAATGTGTTTAGAATTTTTAGAACTACAAAATACTAAATTTAAATCTAAAGTTCGTTCAAGCTTTTTTTAAATCTTTTTTATATTGAATCGTTATAAATAATAATTACTTTCCAAAAAATGTTCACTGCAAACTAACATTTTTGGGATCGAAAACATCAGCTCTCTTACGCTTCTATACCCACACATTTCTCAAACTTTGATTTTTTGGAAAAACGTGATACACTATATATTTTGCTGTATTAGAGCGATTCCTACAAGTTGTAACACTGCAGCCCACAATGGTGTAAAATAATTTAAAACTACTAACAGGGTAGGAGGGGGTAGGGGTGACTTATTTTTTTTTTAAACAACAACCCCTATTGAGTGACCCCTCATTTTGAAGGGCTTATAAAAAAAAACACAATGACGCAAACCCGAGGTGGATATCTCACCCCTAGCCAAAATGGCAGGTATGCCAAAACTTGAATCACTGTATGTGAAAAAGCACCAATTTGACAAATATGGAAACAAATCTGTATTTTAAAAATCGAAATAGATAGAAACATTCTGTTTGTGGAATTGATTGTTAACATAGATTCCGCAATTTTTTACATCAACAATATTTTTAAACCCCTTTAACAGGGTAGGAGGTGGGGGTGATTTATTTTTTTGATAACAAACCCTATTGAGTGACCCCTCATTTTTAAGGGTTTGTCAAATGAAATACAATGACGCAGGCCCGAGGTAGATATTTCATCCCTAGCCTAAATGGTGGGTATTCCAAAATTTGTTTTATGTGAAAAAGCACCCATTTTGGAATACCTGCCAATAAATCAAATATAATCAAAAAATAAAACAAAAATAAAATAAATCAAAGATGGAATCAAACATATACACTTGTGAATTAAATCAGAACGATAATCAAATTATAAAACCTATAGTGTACCACCAGGGGCCGCAATTTTACCCCTGGACTTTTACCCCTTCATGAGGTTAGCTCAAATACGGCCCGGATTTTTACCCCTTTGCCAGATATAGAAATTAGTGAGAATAATTCATTTTCTTCAAAATGAATTGTTTTTACACGTATACCGGTGATAAATTGTTTAAGAAATGTTCACCCAATTATCATTCAAATGGGCTACTCAGTTTGTTTACATAAATATTAACTAATAGTTGTCCCCAAAAGTCAAATCCTGAAATTTGAATATCAAAATTAAACAGCAAACCCTGTTTACTTATAGTTGAGATTACAAATAAATTACAATAGGCTACTTAAAATGTGTACTATTCAAATATAAATAAAATTAGAGTTTTGTCTGTACATTGCTTAGAATAATGAACTTTTTGGTTATTTTTACATTTCATAGGTCAGAGAAACCGAATCAAACCTTATCTCAATTTCTGTCTGTCTGTCTGTCTGTCTGTCTATCTGTCATTCTCTTGGTAACGCTAAAATACGCACTTTATTACAACTACTCCTCAATAACTATAGCACTGTCCCGCCTGAAACTTATTTTCCAAATACTATACATATATGAGATGGTTTTAGACGTATTTCATCGAATATGAGACAGTTAGATATTTAACAGTAAACCCTTGAAAATCAAGTTTTTGTCGATTTTTGACGTGGAATTTCTGGAAGCCCATGTTAACCTTATGAGAAATGAAATTATTGAATCTTAACAGCTGTTTCAATTAAACAAGTTGGTTCTGTTCTGTGATGTTCAATAGCATTAAAGTTACAAGGATTACCAACAGGGTGCAGCACTAGCACTATTATTTCTTTTACATTTATGACAACAGCTAATTTGCAACCTGGAGGCGAGTGAGCGTAGCGAACGAGCTAACCTGAAGGCAAGTGAGCGTAGCGAACGAGCTAACCTGAAGGAAAGTGAGCGCAGCGAACGAGCTCCAACATACAGGTGAGTGAGCGTAGCGAACGAACTTCAACCAGGACGTGATTGAGCCATGCAAACGAGATCAGATAGTAAAAATAAAAGTAAGCCTACCGTTATAGGATCGACCGGCAGACACAGAGGTAATTTAACCTTTTATTGATTGTCATACCGATCCGGAACAACAAAAAACAACATAAAATGAAGCTATGTATAATAGTTTGGCCAGCATATCTTAAAATATGCAAACCAACTGCTGTTCGTTATATAAGAAGGTTTCAACTGAATATTATAAGATCCCCGTGCGTAGAACGGGTACACAGCTAGTCAAAAATAAAATCAGAAAATTAAATGATTTCGCTAATTTATATACCTGCACAGGGGGTGTAAAATTCCGGGGGTAAAAACCACCAACTGTTGTATAATAGTTGTACATCTACAGTTGTATAAGCGCTAGTTATATGGACATTGGGGTAAAATTCAGGTTTTTTTGCCAATCTAATTTATCACGCTCTGTCTATTTTCATTAAACTCCCAAATCCACGGGGGTAAAATTCTGCCCGAGAACAAACTTTAGAGCGTTCAGATGACTACGTCATAGTGACGTCTGCTCTGCTCAGAGGGTAAAATTCGAAGGGGATAACATTCTGGCGACCCTGATGTGACGGCAGATGGCAAAAACTGGTTTGAATCTAATGGCCTCCTTTTGAACACCAGTAAAACCCAACAAACTCTCTTCCATACTTATAATAAGGTGTTAAGTGTGGAATGGAGTGAGATTATCTATGCATTTTTGTTCATCTTAGCTGTTTGTTTAGCCAGGATCATTTATTTAAAGCCCAATGGTCAAAGACAACTGGGTCCAGTTTTGAATCTTAAAAAATACTGACTTGTCTCAGGAAGGCAATCGCCTTTAAATTATTAAGTGAGCGCTAT